AACCCTCTGTTCACGTCTTCCCATTACGTATCGACCTCTGCTCCACGCCATCCAGGCATCGTCGAACGATCAAAGCAAAGGAAGAACGGGGGACGAGGGACTGCAGCTCCGGGGAAAAGCAGGCAAAAGGTCAGCGGCGTCGAAATCACGATATTTTCTCCACTCGCGAACACAGTGTTTCTCACGGTCTCTCGTTATCGCGCAAACATTGCGATTTGTTTGCACGGGCATCGACGAACTGGCGACGCCGATGCTGCTGCTGTTGGTATCGCGAGATCACGTGTCGGCGCCCTGTCCAGCGATTTAATTGAATCTCGCGCACACGTGCGCGAACGAAAATTCGTGAACGGGCACGTGCCAGCTGGATCGAACGCGCCTTTCGAAAATCCCCGCGGGGCCCTCTTCCGCTCGATTCACTCGTATAAATAGAAACGACTGTCGTCGCCGTTTCGAACGCGAGTCTGCGAATTGTTGCCCCCCGGTCTATTTTCTGCGATTCGAGAAACACACGCTAGCTTTTGCCAGCTCTTTTCTTTCTTTCTTTCTTTCTGAGAGATATTTCTGGGCGCGAAGAATAGACAGAAACGTAATTAATTGCGCTGCTTTCCAGCGGAGAGTGAAAAGTGCCGGTGGAGGTCTCAACGCTCGAGTGAGTTTGTGCAAAGTTACTCGTTTAATCCTTTGAATAAAAGAATTTCTTTTGTTGAAAAGTCAGAAGAGTCCGGTAAGTTTTGTTTCAACTTTGAAATTGATATCAAACCACGGAGATTGAAAGAAGAAGTTTGAAAGCTTGAATACACTTCGTAGATACGAGGGTGAGTTGCGTTCGAAAGAAACGATGAACCTTGCGTTTCAGCCAGCATCTCTAGAAGTCGTGATTATATCAGATATCGTATCGATAAAGAGAGATGCAACTGTAATGTTTGACTGGAAGCGGTGTGATTCCTCGCGGACAGCTGGCGTCCACCAGGAAGCGATTATCGATAGCCGAGCAAAACCAAAACCGAGAGACCTTTTATCGCTTTGGAATTATATAAATTTCCGCGATTATGTTGCTTGGAGTCAGCTAACAACATCTGTATACGCGAATACACAGCTGAACGAGTGTAATATCCCTGCACGCGTCAGTGGATCGGAGTGCAACCGATGACCACGAAGAAGGCGCGCTCGCAACAACTTCATTCGTTCGTCCAGGAATGCAACTTCCTCGAGGAACAAAAAACATGTCATCGAAGAGTGGATGATAGAGGGGTAGCGGAATATCGAAACCAGTCTCACGTGTGGCGAGCCACTGGCAAAAACCCGTGAAAACCACCGCGAACGCTCGGCGGTGAGCGAATGGCTCGATAACGACGCAGAACAGCCAAGTGAAATTTTACACCGGATGCAATCCGAGGAACGGCACAATAGAAAACGCTGTCCGCCGGCCTTTTATCGACGTTCCTTGCGCAAAAGCGAGCCCGAGAGTATCTCTCTCTCTCTCTGTTAACGAGCTCCTATGCGGGACACTTTCCTGCGCGTCGCGTTTTTCATTCTCTCCTCTCCTGTTGAGCCAGACCCAGGCCAGCCAGCGATCGATCGATCGTCCTCCAGCCATATGGCGCGGGGAACTCGTGCAACTCGCGCTTCGGGGGTTCGTCGAAAAGAGACGCTTGTTGCACCACGCGCTTCGTGTTTCCACAACCAGCGACAGAGTTGCTTTATGTTTTCGGCATTAATTGGAGGGGGGAGAGGGGCAAAAAAGTAGTCTGGACCTTTCATCTCGTCGAATCGAATTTTCGCTGTTTCAACGGTCCTAGGAAATTTTCAAATACGAGAGATTGTCTCGTAATCTTCGCAGAGCAAACACAGTCACACGTGACGAAATATACTCGAAGGAACGATATCTGTTTCTGGCATTTTTTTTTTTCTTTTTTCTTTTCCTTTGCAGCGCGAACACGGCGATTCCACGTCGTTTGACATTCCTCGTTATTGACCGAGTTCCGTAGAATCGAGTGTACATCAATGGAACGGTATTCGTTGAGCAAAACGCGCGTACCACTTCTTGAAACTATGTATGTCCATAACGATGACAGACAACCTGCGGTCGCAGAATGACGCGAGTTCTATAAAAAGTAACCGCTATCGCGCGATGGAATAATTGACGTGAGACTGCACGTTTAGCTTCTTTTTTTTTTTTTTTTTGTTTCATAGTCTATCGAAAATCGCGTTCCAGTCTTATCTATCGGCTCTCGCGTTCTTTTGTCGCCGTGCTTCGCACGTCCGACGTTGCACGAGTCTCGCAAATGTTCCATTTGCATCGATGACATCACGCGAAACAAATCTCCGAAGGAGATTCGTTCTTTCAATAATACTTTACTTTTATATGACATAGGTGTATATCTTCTATATACATATATGTGTGTAAAAATCTGATTAATCGAATTTAAAATGCTGAGAATTATTCGAGAACACGGAAATTGAATAAAATGTAATAAGACTCACTGTGAATCTCATCAATAATGAATAACGAATTTATAATATGTATGTATAAATTAACAATCAATAATTTAAATCCAATAAAGTTAATAATTTAATGAGAATCTAATATAAGGGGCCAGAAATTGTTTGAGGACACGGAAATTTAATAAAAAGAAAAAAATTTATACGTAATGTAATGAGAATGTGAATCTCGATGTTGAGTAAAACCACGTGATATGGTATACAATGAATTTATAATAAATATATATAAGTTAACAATCAATAACATGCGATCCTCTTTTGCCAAACGACGAATTTTTATCGCGAATATATTTTGATAATCTTCGAAGTACTCATCATTCTTTCTATAGTACTTTACTTTT